GCTTGGTTAAGTTAAACACACAGGCACTTGCAGCAAGTTGCACTGGTAAATTCATAGGGTGGTTTCTCATCCCAGTAACCACAAGCTGGGGGAAAAAAATAGTTCTCTTAATCTACCTTATAAATATAAACCTTCTTCACATAGCAACATTATTTTGTTAATCTATAATAATTTCTAAGATGTCTTAAGTAACTTTTTTATTCTCATGTGCAAAGAGCCCAGGACATAACAGTTACTCTCTAATACTTAGTTCCTGCACACTTGGTTGAGATAGGTATCAAGCTGTTCATTCACATCCAGAGATTTTTCTGTAAGGCTAATGAGTCTTTTCTATTCAGGTAACTCATCTTTGTATTTCCAAGACCTAGTACAGTGCCTGTTATATGCTAAGCACTAAATAAATTCCTACCAGCTTGAATAGAGTAAACCAGTGGCAAACTTCACTTTCAAATCCCAACATTCAGTTTCTTGAAATACTGCTAAAGTCAGAGTACAATAAAATCCACTTACTTCCCTCTGGCCTAGATAATTATTTCTCACCTTTTCCTTTCTCTTCAAATCCCCAACAAATCCTCCCCATGCCTCATTATTAGCTGAAGACCTTGTTTCCAACTATACTGAGAAAAAACTGAAGCAATCAGAAAGAACTTCAAATTCATACTAATATAAATACCCTCTTACCAGCATACATACATACATGTGCTGCCTTTCTGCCTGTTACCATAAATGACTTTTTTTTTTAGGGGGGCGGGGTCCTGTCTAAAGATAATCCCTCCTTATGTGCTAGATCTTTCCTTTCTTGTCTACTCAAGGATACTACTTCAGCTCTTCTCCCGTCTCACTCTTACATCATTTTTTAAATTCTGTATTGAATCTTTCATATCACATATGAACAAACTATTTTGTTTCTCATGTTAAAAAAACAAACAAATCCACTTCCTCAAGCAACTACCAACTTTTTTCTTTGCTCCCCTTTGCAGCAAAACTCCTTAAAGTGACTGCCTATATTCTTTTCATTCTCTATGCATCATTCTCTGAATAAATGAATAAATAGTTCAGATGGGGACTAGAGGTCTAGTTCTTTGTTACTCAGGTTCATGGTAACCAATACCAAAAAAAAGATAACGCATATATCAAGTGCCAATATCCTCTGGTATGTATGGAGAGAGTGACAAGTTTGGGACTGAAATGTTACTAGTTACTGAAATGTTACTGGTTCCTATCCAAGCACCCCATTCTCAAAATTTAAGGTACCTGGAGGTTAAGGCATCTCTGGCTCTGCCACTAATTATTACTTTACCTCACAGACCCTCAGTTACACAATCTGTGAATTAGAAAATAAAACATCTCTTGGGATTGTCGTGTCCACTATATGAGTGAGGTACCAAAGATAATACAGTCCTACACTCACTGGTTTCCAAATTGAATGTGCATAAAGATTATCATGAGGGATTATTAAAATGCAGATTCTTTTATCTCATTTAGGCCTATTGAATCTAAATTTCTTGGGGTAGGGTTCACGAATATGCTTCTTATTTTTACTTTTTAATTTAATTTTTTTTTACAAATATGCTTTTTAAAATATGCAACATTCTAGACTTGTGGTGGACAAGTCTGACAAACTACCCCAAGCAATAAACAAAATTAAGAATCTTCCTTTCTTGCCATTCAAAAGCTGTCTTGGTTAAAATATCTTAATTGGGGAATAACATGAATTATTTGGTTATGAAAGCACAGGAAGTTCATAAATGGCATGGAAAAGTGCCTTATGGAAGCAACACAGAGCTAATGTACAATGCAGTGTCCTTCCAATCATATACTTCCATTTTTTACTACAACTGGTAAAAAAAATATATCACACTGGTCACTGGTTTTGGGTAGTTAAATACGACCTGGGAGGCATTTATATTCTGCAGCAAGATCCTGCTTGGTTAAGTTAAACACACAGGCACTTGCAGCAAGTTGCACTGGTAAATTCATAGGGTGGTTTCTCATCCCAGTAACCACAAGCTGGGGGAAAAAAATAGTTCTCTTAATCTACCTTATAAATATAAACCTTCTTCACATAGCAACATTATTTTGTTAATCTATAATAATTTCTAAGATGTCTTAAGTAACTTTTTTATTCTCATGTGCAAAGAGCCCAGGACATAACAGTTACTCTCTAATACTTAGTTCCTACACACTTGGTTGAGATAGGTATCAAGCTGTTCATTCACATCCAGAGATTTTTCTGTAAGGCTAATGAGTCTTTTCTATTCAGGTAACTCATCTTTGTATTTCCAAGACCTAGTACAGTGCCTGTTATATGCTAAGCACTAAATAAATTCCTACCAGCTTGAATAGAGTAAACCAGTGGCAAACTTCACTTTCAAATCCCAACATTCAGTTTCTTGAAATACTGCTAAAGTCAGAGTACAATAAAATCCACTTACTTCCCTCTGGCCTAGATAATTATTTCTCACCTTTTCCTTTCTCTTCAAATCCCCAACAAATCCTCCCCATGCCTCATTATTAGCTGAAGACCTTGTTTCCAACTATACTGAGAAAAAACTGAAGCAATCAGAAAGAACTTCAAATTCATACTAATATAAATACCCTCTTACCAGCATACATACATACATGTGCTGCCTTTCTGCCTGTTACCATAAATGACTTTTTTTTTAGGGGGGGGGTCCTGTCTAAAGATAATCCCTCCTTATGTGCTAGATCTTTCCTTTCTTGTCTACTCAAGGATACTACTTCAGCTCTTCTCCCGTCTCACTCTTACATCATTTTTTAAATTCTGTATTGAATCTTTCATATCAGCATATGAACAACTATTTTGTTTCTCATGTTAAAAAAACAAACAAATCCACTTCCTCAAGCAACTACCAACTTTTTTCTTTGCTCCCCTTTGCAGCAAAACTCCTTAAAGTGACTGCCTATATTCTTTTCATTCTCTATGCATCATTCTCTGAATAAATGAATAAATAGTTCAGATGGGGACTAGAGGTCTAGTTCTTTGTTACTCAGGTTCATGGTAACCAATACCAAAAAAAAGATAACGCATATATCAAGTGCCAATATCCTCTGGTATGTATGGAGAGAGTGACAAGTTTGGGACTGAAATGTTACTAGTTACTGAAATGTTACTGGTTCCTATCCAAGCACCCCATTCTCAAAATTTAAGGTACCTGGAGGTTAAGGCATCTCTGGCTCTGCCACTAATTATTACTTTACCTCACAGACCCTCAGTTACACAATCTGTGAATTAGAAAATAAAACATCTCTTGGGATTGTCGTGTCCACTATATGAGTGAGGTACCAAAGATAATACAGTCCTACACTCAATGGTTTCCAAATTGAATGTGCATAAAGATTATCATGAGGGATTATTAAAATGCAGATTCTTTTATCTCATTTAGGCCTATTGAATCTAAATTTCTTGGGGTAGGGTTCACGAATATGCTTCTTATTTTTACTTTTTAATTTAATTTTTTTTTACAAATATGCTTTTTAAAATATGCAACATTCTAGACTTGTGGTGGACAAGTCTGACAAACTACCCCAAGCAATAAACAAAATTAAGAATCTTCCTTTCTTGCCATTCAAAAGCTGTCTTGGTTAAAATATCTTAATTGGGGAATAACATGAATTATTTGGTTATGAAAGCACAGGAAGTTCATAAATGGCATGGAAAAGTGCCTTATGGAAGCAACACAGAGCTAATGTACAATGCAGTGTCCTTCCAATCATATACTTCCATTTTTTACTACAACTGGTAAAAAAAATATATCACACTGGTCACTGGTTTTGGGTAGTTAAATACGACCTGGGAGGCATTTATATTGCTTAATGAGACTATTATAAAACTTCAATAATATTAAGCAACCTACCTTCTCTCATTTTCATTTACAGCTAATAACTGAAATCACACATCATTAATCCTATTACAAAAAAAAAATCGAAGACTAAATGCAAATTTTCACAAATTTTCTTCACAAAACCATCATCTGTCCAGGCACATAAATTCAAATTTTTCATATTCAGTTTCTTAATTCTTACCTTTAAAATTTCTGGCTTTGTTTTTTCCATCACATGAGTCAGGCTAAAAAGGTGAAATAGAGCTTCCCGGACAAAGAATGCCCGTTCACTGTACCGCTTCAATGCTTCTGCAATCTGAGTTTCATTGGCTTCTCCAGATACCTTTGAACATAGCCAGAAAATTCACTTTTAGGATTCTCTTCAACCCTCTAACTTCCTCTATCCAAACATCAATTGTATAGATAGCATCCAGAATAGCTATGTAAGGCTTAAAACAAATGTGAATGATTACTTTCCATCTATCCAGAACAGTCATCCTATGGAGGTGTACATGTGTTAAAAAGATATATTTTAGCCATTATCATAATCTTTTCACTAGACTGACCCATTCATCACTGTATCTCAATAGCTAGCATTATGTGTGCCTCACAATAAGCATTCAGTACATATTCATCAAATAAATATATTAATTTTCCCAGATTTATCAAGTTCCCATTCAGCATCAAGAGGTTCTGTTCAAAATTAAGTCCATCTGGGAATTTCCCATTTACACAGATTAACACACTTAAACTGTTTCATGTACCATTGGATAACCAAGTATATAGAACAAGAAGTGGTTCTTTATTAAAGGAATCAAACTAATAAGTGAAAAAGCAATTATTAGAATAGCACCATGATCCCCAATGAATTAATACAATTAGGTGTTAAGTTCCAACAACTGCTAATACCACAGAAAAAAATCGACCGGACATTATGTACTTCCTTAATGAAAGAGCACAATACCTAAGGGTCCTGCCAAAGGTATCAAACATGAGTCTGATTAAACCTCCAAATCCAGCTAACGATTTACAGAAAATACAAAAACAGAGAAATACGTACCAAAAGTACATAAAATCAAGAAAAACCAGATTGAGGAAAACTATAAAGTCAAAAAGGCTGGATTGTTTAATAGAAAAATCATAAGGAAAAGAAAGAGATAGAGGGGGAACCTGTAAATTAAAAAATACTCAAAAGACAATTTTGAAAAATGGGCAAGATTAAGTGCCTAGAGATAAACAGTTGGGTCATAAAACTATAAAGAAAAGCAAGGACGTGATTATAATTAAAATCAGGATACAGGTTACTTTTATGAGAAAGGATAAGGATGGGACACACAGAAGAGCTTCAGGCTCGCTGACAAAGTTCTTTTTGTTGACCTGAGTGATGGTATAGCTTTATTCATTAAGCTATACATTTGTTATTTGTGGTCTTTGTATCTGTCTGATCTTACGAAAAGGTTAAAAACATGTTTTTTAAAAAGCCCTTATCATTCAGAGAGCTATAATCCTCTCATTAAGTTGTTAGACTAAATCTTTTGGCAGTAGCATTATATAGGGTGGCACAAAAATAAATACTTCAAAAATATATTGCTGAGTAACTAGGTTTTATATGAACATATAATATTCAAGTAGGAATGTGCAGCTTTGAGGAAATGAAGGGCTGCATCATGGCTGACATTTCAACCATTGATGTGCTATGCTACATCAATTAGACTACAGTACAGATATGTGCCAAGTGACACAAAGGCATATATTAAGCATTTGTAAGATTGTAGATATAACAATGTTAGTTTCTTTTCAAAATGCTTTTTAAATTATTCATGTATAACATACATACGCATTAGTCTTGACTATGTATTCACATATATAAGCAGTTATTGAATAACTGTGATGAAATAGTGATGACAGAGTTGGCAATTCTATGGTAGGAAAACCCTCTGTGTTGGGACCAGAAACTGAGAGGAAAGTAAAGAACTAAGCTACTCAAATAGAGGTAAAGATATGTAGTAGGAAGGACACATGCTTTGGAATCAAATAGTCTAAGGGTAGAGGGGCAGGCTCTAATGTCATCTGGTTGTGACCCTAAAGAAAGCCATTCCCTCTCGCTGAGGACAATAATACTGCACAGAGTCAAGAGATCAAAATAAATATTATATATATGTAACTACAAAAAAAACCTAAACTGTTCTTATAACCACCCACTCAGAGTACCATATAAGTAATACCTTCTAAAGAATACCGAGAAGTCACATTGCCTCTATATCTTGCATTCTTTAGTGTGGCCCAAAAAAACTGAGGAATGTAAAGCCAAAAATCCAATCTAAACTAATTTGAGGCATCACAACACTAAGACAATAATTTCAGACAGGTTTTTCATCAACTGCTAAATTAGACAATTCTAAAAAGGGAGACAGGGAAATCTCAGCTCTCTTCTTTTAACATGAAGTATCATTTTTCAACTTTTAAATCAGTAGTCAAACAAAAAATTTAAATGGAACATCAATTTTTGTATATAGCTGAATAAAGGGCAAAGCTCTGATGATCTCTATTTTTAAAAAAATAGTTTAAAACAATGATTCTCAACTTTGGCTGCATATTGCAATCACCTAAGGAGCTTTAAAAAAAAAATCCTGAAGCCTGGGTCCCATCTCCCTGTGATTCTAATTTAATTATTCAAGTTCCCCAGGTGATTTTTTTAATTGAATTTTTTTCCAGCTTTATCAACAATAATTGACATATAAAATTATGTAAGTTTAAGGTATACAAAATGATGATTTGATACATGTATATACTATGAGATGATTACAACAGTAAGGTTAGTTAACACATCCATCATCTCACATAATTACACTCCAGGTAATTTTAATTGTGGTCAAGGTTGAGAATCACTGTTTCAAATTTATAGAGGTAGAAATTAGATAATGATAGCAAATGAAGTATTTCCTAGGGCCAAGATTTCGACGTAATAACAGCTGCATTTGTGAAATCAAGCTTGTTTCAGGGGCATGGAATACAAATGTCCTACTAGCCTCGATTTTAAAACAGGCTAATTCACTATAAGGTCTATTGGTCGTAAAAAGAATTAGTAAAAATCATACTGCTCTGGGATCACAACTATTATAGGATCTTTACCTTGAGGTTATTTAGGTTAATGTAGGTTAATGTATCAGGGATATATTCCTTTCATCCTTCAGGATGCAGGTCAAGCTCACCTCTTCTGAGAAATCTGTCCTCAACTCCCAGCACACAGGGATTTCTTCCCCTTTAATTTTACAATTCTTTACTGTCTGACCCATCTGTTAAGCAGTTAAGCGACATTAAAATAGTAATTTACATTATTGTGCTTCCTTCATCAACAAGCCCTGTGCTAGAAATCTAGCTTGTTCCATAACAAGTGAAGTAAGTTCCTCACACTTCCTGTTGCCCTGCATCTAGCTTATGTGATCTTGCCACCTACTTTCTCCACCTCGTCTCACAGCTCTGTGACTTTCTACTGTTAAGCTCTAGTTACAGCAGCGATTCTTTAGTTCCTTGGATGTACCACGATCCTTCCTACCACACATATTTTGCATCTATTATTCTCTCCGTTCACATTGTTCTCTACCAAGATACTCACTCTTAAGATCTCCACTCATTTGTCAATTTCTCAGAGAAGGCTTAAACGAAGTCAAGTCTCTCTGTATATCTTGTAACTATACAGTTTATAGGTTATATATCCGTGTGTGTATATATAACATATAAATATACATGTATATGAACTAAATATATATATTTGAAATGTGTGTGCTCCCACACACAACATATTTGATTGTCTGACCCCTTACTAAACTACAAGCTCCATGAGGGCAAATCATATCTGTTTGGCCTCACCATCAAATCGCTATGTCCAACACAATAGCTGGAACAGAGGCACTTGATAAAATAGTTATCGAATGAATTAGTAAAAGGGTAACTCAAAATTGTTTCTATATTCTATTTTCTAAAGTCTAAATTTAAAAATAATCTAAGAACTGAAATGTTTATAAGATGTTTATAACTAATCTTTCCTTCTCCTTTTTTGAGATCAGTGACAGTTGCTCAAAAAAGATACCTTGCCATTTTGGCCACAATATGCACTTCTAGGCCACCCCTAACTCTGTTCCAGGTAGGATCAAAGAATGCTTCTGCTTAAGCGGTATAGGTAGGGGATGAGAGGTGGGGGGTGGGGCTCTAGAACTAGATAGATATAGATTCAAATGTTGGTTCTAACTAATAGTAAATCAATAATTTCTGTGAGTCTACGTTTCTCATCTATTAAATGGGGTTAACACCTATCGATATAAAGCATCTAGAGGATACGGTGTATGTTAAAATGTATTACGTTTCCTTAAACTTGCCATAATTGTATCGTTTAAAGTCTAACACAGATATCTTCTTCTCCATCAAGCCCTAAATTCTCCAACTAGAAGAAATTTCTCCTACTCTCTTATAGTAAATATATTGATCCTTGGCTTTATGGGTTTTTTTATGATCATATCACCACTACTTCTATCAGACTAAGGTCCTGGGAGGTAGATTCTGTATCTTTTTCATATTTGAATCCCCAGCTATAACAAGCCAAATAGATATCTGCTAAACTGAATTTAAACCATTAGGCATAAGAAACCTAAGAAAAGCAAAATTATAGCATTTCTACAGTAGAGTTCTCCTTGGAGACCTTGATTTCCCATTAGATATGCAATTAATAAAGAGTATCCCTAGTTTCTTTGAAGTGATCCATGAAAAAAATGGTTCAAAATATCTAAACATATCATCATAAGAACTATCATTTATCCAGGGCCTACTACGTGACTTGCACTTTACAGATACAATTATTAATCTTTGGAAGAACTCTGCAAGGTAGGAATGATATCTATTTCATAAATAAAGAAATAGAAACTCAAAAAAGTTACATCATAGCTTGCTCTGTGTCATAAAGCAAGTAAGCTAGGATTTTAATTAGGATTCTGTCTCTAAAGCAAGGTCTGTCCACTATACAATGCCCTGTTTCACGAACATGTTCCATAGAGTAGACATTTATCTTAATGGAGTCTTATGTAACTAAGAGATTGGTCAGCCTGACAAAATAATACATTTTTAACATCTAACCTTCAAATGTCCTTCGCCTGTGAGGAATTCAGAGTAACCAGCATCAGTGGCCAGCAAACCTACAAACTGCATGCTGGGCCGTTGCTGTATAAAGGCTTCAACAGCTTTATCTGTCACGTGCTTTCTCCCAGAAACATCCAGGGAGACGAGGTTGGGTAGGATGTCCTTTTGTTCTAGTAAGCGAAGAGCTATGTCTGATGTAAACTGTTTATCATCTGAAATATCAAGATGATTCAGATGTTTTAGTTCTCGAACAACATCCAGTATCTGGGTAGTTGTCATTTTTAAACATTTCAAGTGGTGCATGGTTAAAGACTTGAGTCGGTCTTTGCAGGCCAGCAGAGCTGTGATGTCTGTGATTGAGGTGTTAGAAATATCCAGGCTCTCTAATCTTGGCAATGAGGCAACTTCAGCCAGGTCTTCATTGTAAAAGAGAACATTGGTGATGCTTAATGCTCGAAGGCCAGAAAGCCGGCTGAAACACCGCTCATAAGGATCTTCAAGAGACAGAGTTAATGAGTTCAGCACTAAGCACTGGAGATTTTGCTGGATCCATTTGTTACTACCAAGACCACTGATGATGTCTGTAATCGTGATGTCAGCATTCACACCGGTAGCATCAAGTTCTACTAACTTGTGGTGGCAGAAGGCTTTCCGGAAAGCAACAGCAGAGATCTTGGCTTTGCGAATGCAAGCTCTTTTTAAGCGCATCTGGTTGCCCCTAAAAATACCCACAGTTCCATCATTCAGTAGACCTGGAAAAAAAAACGCAGCAGCACTTTAACTTCAAAAAATGGTTAAAGAATAGCTAAAATTATCAGCATACTTTACATTTCCAAAGCACTCCCATGTAACAATATTTCATTTAATATATATAAAACTGACTTAGGTAAAAATACTATCTACAATTTATAGATGGGTAACTGGGGCTCAGAAAAGTGGTTTTCCAAGATCACAGAGCTAGCAAGTGGCAGAATCAGGACTGTAGGAGACATTACTGATACTAACATTTGGTTCTCCTCATCTCCCTGGCCACATGGAAAACAATATTTCCCAGCCCACCTTTGGAATTAGATGGGGTCATGTTTCTGGTTTTGGCCAATAGGCTGTAGGCAGAAGCACCTGAGAGCCAGTCCATGATTTTCAATGCTATCTTTTCCTTCTATGACAAATGAGGAGCCTTCAAGTTCTAGATAATATAGTTTTATAAGAATGGCGCTTCGATCATCCTGGATCCTAGGGTGACCATGGAGCAGAAACCTCCATGGACTTGCAGCATTTATGCACCACGAGTGAGGTGATAACTTTGTGTTAAGCTACTAGATCTGGGGATTAATTTGTTTCCAATGCATTTTTAACCCATCCTTTAAATTTGCTATAACATTATTATACACGCAAACATATCTACACACAAATATATTTAGCACACATATGTCTGTAGTTCTTTATTAAACCACTAGCTAATAAGATCTGAAATCTTATTAAAAGGATCTAGAAGTTATAGTCCTTCCTTGTCAGATAAATTCAAATAGAGTGAACAAAGTAACCTCTTGAAGTCCCTTAGAGATCTACCTGACTACTAATTAATAGTGCCAGAATAGATGATGTTTTGGAGCCACATCTATCCCAACAATATCACATATCAACTATACAACACTTACCATGAAAGAAGTAACAGCCATGTCAATAAAAAGTAGCCTAAGAAAAGTATAGGGTGAGTGAACAGTTGGGACCAGACATATAAATGGCCTAGAGTCAAGGGAAGAATTCTAAGTGGCACCTCAGAAGACTCATACTAAAAATATAGCTCAGGCAACGAGCCAATCATTCTTAAATTAGTACTGAAGTTGTTTTTTAAAGGAAGCACTGCTCTCCAGTGGATTTTGAAAACTTAATTATCATTAAAGTGCTAAAATCAAGAAAAACCTTTACAAAACCTGTCACAATAGACAAAAATGACTGATTCTATCTTAAGAATTCCATTATTCTACAGCTATGCTTTCCAATACAGTAGACACTAGCCACACACAGCTATCAAGTACTTGAAATGCAGATAGTCCAAATTAAGGTATGCTATAAGTGTAAAACACTCATCAGATTTTGAAGATGCAATACAAAAAGACATAAAATATCTTCTCATTAACAATTTTTTATATTGACTATATTTCCCAGCCCATCTTTGGAATTAGATGTTGAAGTGGTATTTTGGATATATTGGGTTGAATAAAATTATTAAAATTAGTTTTACCTGTTTCTTTTTACTTTTTAAATTTAAAATTACATATGTGGTTCACTTTTATGGCTCATGTTATATTTCTATTGGGCAGTGCTATTCTAGAAATAGTCTTTTAAACTACCTGAACTTTGTTTCAGGGGAGTAAATTTCAATGGATGGAGTTCCATCCATTGAACAGTTATAAAACAATTACTATAAGTCAAACACTACCAAATGTTAAAGATACAAAAAAGAGAGAGAGAAATAGAGAGAGATACGCCCTGTAATACTCAAAAAATTCAAAATTTCATGGAGTGAAAAAGTCCCAAACAAATGTAGATGTAGGAAGGTTGTATGGCACAGTGAAAGAGCATAGATTTGGACTCAGACTTGCATTTGAACCAGGATTCCACCATTTATTAGCAGTGTGACCCTTAACAAGTTACTTCTCTGAACCACAGCCTCCTTATCTGTATACAAATGGGATAAAAATAGCTTCCTTATAGTTTTTGAGAAAAGTTGAAGGAAATCTATATATAAAATGCCAGGCACATAATAGGCAATCAATAAATGACAGTTAGTATTACTGCCACATTTTCATTCTACTTTATAGTAGAATTATATAGACAAATTATATTTCCTACTTGTAAGAGTTTATAAACCCTAAATATATAAAGATATTACATCTCTTTCAACTTAAAACTTAAACAGAAGAAAAATCCTCAATATACATAATGAGAATTTCACAGATGAGACTTTCCCAATTTATTTTTCGAACTTGTTTTTGAAAACAGAAGTACTAAATTAGCTATAATTTCACTTCCAAAGGTCAAAAGCAGAAATTAGTTTTTCTATAATAGTATTCATTGATTCTCCTAATGTTAAATAAAGATGTAAGGTATTTTATACCAGGAGACTTCTAAATGGATATTTTGGAAGTTGGAGAAGTTATTTTTAACATGAGAACAGCTTCTCAAAACTAACAGAAGAAAGAAAAAAAGTAAATTGCTCAGATTAGAAAAGAAAAATGCTTATTCCAAATTACACAAAAGTGGCGGGATAGGCAAAATAAATGAATTCCTTTTCTTAGAATCAGACTCATCTGGCCTATTCTGTTATTTCTAAGAAAATAATTAAATGGCACCTCAAAATCCAATACTAATTAATAGCACAAATTTTTGTTTCCTCTGTTTATATTATTTTTACCATGAAAAGCCATAGTCTGAAGCAGTCGATCAGCCACCTCCTGTGGGAATACTCCAGGTTCTTGCAGACACAATGTTCCATCTTGTCTTGCTGAACAGAACTTTTCAAGGTGTGTAGTCAGGAAATTCAAGCAGATATCAAGTAAGGAATAGGGAGATGCCTCCTCCTTGGAGCCCAGGAAGAAACATAAAGAGAACACAAAAGTTAGTTTCCAGAAAAGTAGAGAAAAAAACATTCTTGTATTCAACAAGTATTTTTACTCAGTGTTTACTATGCTAGATTCTATGTTAGGCAATACAAAATGTGATCTATGTTCTCAAGAAGTAGGAGAAGAGAAACATTTACAAAAATACTTATATAAGGTCTTTTAAATACTGTAATAGAGGACATATTGGGTAGGATATAATCACATAGCAAGGTGCCCTAATAAGTCAAGGATGGTCAAGGAAGATGAGAGAGGCACAGCAGAACAATTTTCCTAAATTATTACCCATGACCCCTCCCCTGCTCAAACCTTCTATGGCATCCCATGGGCCTGAAAACAAAAGACAAAATTCTTAGATTGTCAGACTACTACCTGAATACTTCCAAAATCTAGCCCCAATTTACTTTCCAACTCGATTTCCCACAAAACCCTCATCCCAACCTATAGTTCAAATATATGATAAATTTATTAGGGTAAAAGAATTTTCTATAGGTGTTAGCATCCTCAAAAAAGATAAAGGTTGACCTAGTTATTCTAGTCTGAGGAATAAATAATCAAATAAGCACAAAAATTTAAGTGTAACAGTTTTAATTATAGAAATAAATACTCTAAATGTCCCCAATGACAATAATACTATTATAATTATAGTAGTTACCCTCCATTAGGTACTTTCAATATGACCGTGTTTAGTGTTTTACATGAATTATCCATTATTTCATTATTCCTTACCCCAATTTCACAAAGTAGTCAAGCATTACCTTCACTTTTGCATAACTGAAAACCAGCTCAAAAGTATAACACTTTTCTCAGCATTCCACACGTAGTGAGTAACAAAGTATGGCTTCAAATTAAAAACTGACTCAGAAGCACAACTCTCAATCACATACTACATGTGACATTTTAATGGCTGAATAATATGCAGCCATTAAAAATTATAGTTCAAAGATATATTAACCTCATAGAAAAATACTCATAATATAAGGTAAAGTATAAAAAAATATTTATAGAACTTCCACTACCTAATAAAGGTTATCAATGAAAAGCCCAATTAGTTTCATACTTAAAGTTGAAAGTCTAAATATTTTCACCCTAAAAGCAGGAATAAGACAAAGATGTCTGCTCTCACTCACCACTTCTATTTAACATTGTAGTGAAGGTCCTACAAGTAGGCAAGAAAAGGAAATAAAAAGCATACGGAGTGGAAAGAAAAAGTAAAAACTATCTCTATTTGCAGGTGATATACATACTCTTGTATAAGAAAATCCTAAGGAATTCACAACACAAAAAAACTTATCAAAACAAAACAAAAAGTTCAGCAAGGTTGTAGGATACAAGATCAATATAAAAATATCTATTATATCTCAATATATTTATAATGAATAATCTGAAAATGAAATCAAGGAAACAATCCCATTTACAATAGCTTCAAAAAGAGTAAAATATTTAGGAATGAATTTAACAAAAGAACTGTAAAATTAAAACACTAAAGAAGACCTAAATAAATAGAAAGACATCCATATTCATGGATCAAAAGATTTAATATTATTAAATTGATCTATAGATTCAATTCCTATTAAAATCCCAGCTACCTTTTTTCAGAAATTAACAATCCTAAAATTCATATGGAAATACAAGGGACCTGGAATAGTTGAAACAATTAAAGAAAAGAACAAAGTTGGAAGAGTCAACTTTCAATTGAAAACCTCACTATAAAGCTAGAGTAACAGTGTGGTGCTGGCATAAGGATGAACAGATGGACATACAGTTCAATGACATAGAATTGGGAGTCCAGAAATAAACTCGCATATCTGTTGTCAACTAATTTTTAATAATGATGCCAGGACAATTCAATGCACAAAAGAACAAGCTTTTCAACAAACGTTGGTGGGACAACTGGACATGTACATGCAAAAGAATGCACACCATATACAAAAATTAACTCAAAATCGATCAAAGACCTAAATGAAGGTTAAAACTATTAAGTTCTTAGAAAAAAACATAGATAGAAATCTTCCTGACTTTGGATTAGTAAATAGTTTCTTTTAGATATTTCACCAAAAGCACAACCAAAGCAAAAGAAAGATAAATTGGAACTTCACAAAAATAAAAAACTTTGTGCTTCAAAGATTATCATCAGAAAGTGAAAAGGATACACACAGAATGAGAAAATATCTGCAAATCATATATCTAATAAGGGATTTTTATCTAGAATACATAAAGAACTATTACAACTCAATAATAAAAGACAATTAAAAATAGACAAAGGTCTGAAAGGACATTTCTCAAAAAAAAAAAAAAATACAAATGACCAATAATCTGATGGAAGATGCTCAACATCATTAATCATCAGAGAAATGCAAATCAAAATCACAATGAAATAACATTTCATATCCACTAGCATGGCTATAATCAAAAAGTCATTTAATAAGTATTAGTGAAGATATGGAGAAACTGGAACTTTCATACATTGCTGATGGGAATGTAAAATGGTGCAGTCACTTTGGGAAACATTCCAGTGATTACCATATAACCTAGTAATTCCACTCCTAGATATATGCCTAAGAGAAATGAAACATGTCACACAAAATCTTGTACATGAATGCTTACAGAAGCATTATTCATAATAGCTAAAAAGTAGAAACAACCCAAATGTCTACCACCTGGTGAGTGAATAAACAAAATATAGTATATCTATACAATGGAGTGTTATTCATCAAAAAAAGAAAAGTTTGATATATCATACAACATGGATAGACCTTGAAAACATTAAGCTAAGTGAAAGAAACCAGTCACAAAAGACAACATATTGTATGATTTCATCTATATGAATTATCCAGAAAAGGCAAACCTATAGAGACAGAAAGTAGATTGGTGGATGCCTACGGCTGAGGGGAGGGAGGGTTGGAGGAAAATGGGAAGTCAGTGCTAATGGTTACAGAGCTTTTTTTTTTGTAAGTGATGAAAACGTTCTGTAACTAACTGTGGTTATAATTGCATAACTCTATGACTATGTTAAAAACTACTGAATTAATAAGCACACTTTATGTGGGTAAATTTTATGGTATATGAATTATATCTCAATAAGGCTGTGATTAAAAATAGTTTGTAAAACTAAATATAAGACGGAAATAAATGCATCAAAATGTTAATAGTAGTTAATTTTGGGTGATGCGCTATCAGTTTTCTTCTCTGAATAAATCAGACTTTCTATATAGCATGTTATTTCTATAATCAAAAAAGTCATTAAAATATGTACATGCAATTTTACAGTTTACGAAATGCTTTCACATAGACACATTTAATAGTTAATGACTGAGTAAGGTAAGTAACAAATACATTATTTTATAGATGAGGAAACAAACTTCATAAAAGTTAAATGGTTGGCCCAATGTGGCAGAGACCGTTAGCTAGCTGCCAACTCTAATATTTTTTTCTCTTCTTCCGTATTAATAAAACTTTTTATATTTACCTGAGCACATAAACACCTATAATAAAGACTACATATCCCAGTCTCCTCTACAGCTAGATGTAGCTGAAACACAGTAGAAAAAGTTCAGAGGAAACAATTAATCAAATTCAACTTCTGCCTCATAGAAGTTTGCCTCTTATTTCCTGAGTTGAAACAATCAATTATTTTTTTCTTTATCTACTCTTCATTCTTCAATGTTTAAAATTCATCGCTCAGATAAAACAAGCTGTCCTTTCATCTCAGTTGTAAATTTCAAATTAACCTATTTATTTTGCAGAAGAGAAAAATGAAAGTTGGGTAACTGTCAGAGGAGAGATACGTAACCTTCTGAACATATAATTTTTAGAAGTCATTTTAGCAGAACAAACCTAGGCAGTAATATTTGAACATTTAGAATATTTAATTAATCATTCTAAAAAATTTTTCCTAATGGTAAAACACATTCAGCAAGGAACAAAAGCAGGCTTTTGGACCCCACAAACTTTTCCTTTTCAAAGAAACTCTCTATTATTTCTGGTAATTCCTATTAGTAAGGCTTTTCTAGGCAGCTGTTCATCTACCTAATAGTTAATAACCTGGGCTTTAGAGCTAGAGTGCAAATCACAACTTTCACTTGCTAACTGTGTGACAGTATACAAGCTACCTAACCTTTCTGTTCCTCAGTTTTCTCATCTTGTAGTAAAGATAATAGTAATACCTACCTTACAAAGTTGTTTAGAGGATTAAATGACATAGAACAGGAACCGGAGAACTTAGAAAATGTGGCTCCAGAGCCTACGTCCTTATCCACCACAACATGTTACCTTTTCGACTTTATATACCAATTTCCAATATATTATCTCACCTGATACTCAAAGTGGGTTTGTGATTTGAGCAAAGATAATGATCTCCCTTTAAAGATGAAGAAGAGAAGTTACATATCAAGCAAGTGACAGAACTAGAACTATAGCCAGGTTATCTGAGATCTATTCTAAAACCTATACTGCCACCTGTGATTCCCGAAATTCCAGTAATTTAAGCTAACACAAAGTATTGAGAGATCAATGTTTCCTATTTCATTTTTAAAAAACCAGCAGCATCACAGAAAGACAAACAAACAAAAAAGGGTAAAGCAGAAGCTGGAATTTGGTGTCTAAATAATTCATCTCTTGGAAATTCCTACTCAGAGATTCTTCTCTTTACCAATTAGGGATATGCCAGGTAGAGTAAAAACAAAGCTCCTACTAAAAAAGCAGAAGACAGAGGCTGTCAGGTTTGACTTCATTTGGATCATAAAGTAATCCACACAGTTCAAAGGCTAACAATTTCTATAAAGAATAATCAAGAAAGTTCTTTTTAATAAATTGAAACAAAACTTCTACTCAGTCTGGCCCAACCCAGATCTTTCTTATTGCACAGCTCTTATTCTATCACTCTCTTTCTAAAAAAATTTTAAAAGTTCCATATCATCTATAACCACAGTTCTCATGCTGGAAACATATGCAAGGGATTC